CCATCAATAGATGAATGGATAAACAAATTGTGGTGCAAACACACAATGGAGTACTACGCAATGATAGAAAGAACAATGATGAATCTGTGAAGCACCTCACAACACGGATGAATCTTGAGGGCATTATGCTGAGTGAAATAAGTCAATCACAAAAGGACAAATATTGTATGAGACCACTACTATAAAAGCTCATGAAAAGGTTTACACACAAAAAGAAACAATCTTTGATTATGAGGGAGGGGAGGGGGAGGGATGGAAAAACACTAAATAGACAATAGAAAAGTGATAACTTTGGTGAAGGGTAAGACAGTACACAATACTGGGGAAGCCAGCACAACTTGTATGAGGCAAGGTCATGGAAGCTCCGTAGACACATCCAAACTCCCTGAGGGATGGAATTGCTGGGCTGAGGGCTGTGGGGACCATGGTCTCTGGGAACATCTAGCTCAATTGCCATGACATAGTTTATAAAGAAAATGTTCTACATTCTACTTTGATGTGTAGCATCTGGGGTCTTAAAATCCTGTAAGTGGCCATTTAAGATACTCCACTGGTCTCACCCCTTTGGGAGCAAGGGAGAATGAAGAAAACTAAAAATACAAGAGAAAGGTTAGTCCAAAGGATTGATGGACCACAACTACTATGGCTTCCACCAGACTGAGTCCAGTACAACTAGATGGTGCCCGGCTACCACCACTGACTGCTCTGACAGGGGTCACAATAGAGGGTCCCTGACAGAGCTGGAGAAAAATGTAGAACGAAATTCTAACTCACAAAAAAAGACCTGATTTACTGGCCTGACAGAGACTGGAGAAACCCTGAGAATACGGCCCCTGGACGCCCTTTTAGCTCAGTAATGAAGTCACTCCTGAGATTCATCCTTCATCCAAAGATTAGACAGGCCCATAAAACAAAATGAGACTAAAGGGCACACCAGCCCAGGGACAAGGACTAGAAGGCAGGAGGGGACAGGAAAGCTGGTAATAGGGAACCCAAGGTTGAGAAGGGAGGGTGTTGACATGTCATGGGGTTGTTAAGCAATGTCATAAAACAATATGTGGACTGTTTAATGAGAAGCTAGTTTGTTCTGTAAACCTTCATCTAAAGTACATTAAAAAAAAGAAAAAGAAAAAAAATTAAACATTGATCCCCCAAATAAATTTAATAAATCAATACAAGAACTGAATCTTATATTGGTAAGTATGAAAACTATATTAGTCATCTGGGGAATAAAGTTGAGGAAACAACTTAAAATGTAGAGAACGACAGAAGGGAAAAAATATAAGAAAGAAGTTGAGATGGAGCATTATCCCAGAAAGTTAGTAATATTTAACTAATTCCAAAGAAGAAAACCAAGACAAAAGAGAGGAAAAAATAATCACATAGATAATAAAAGATAATTTCTCTGAACTGAAAAATGACTTTTCAGATGAAAAAGTCTCACTATGTGTCAAGCCAGACAAATAAGGCTTACACCTAGAAATATTCTGGTGAAATTCCTAGTATAATGTTTTCAGAGAGAATAAACAGGACACCCACACAAGAACAAGCATAGATTGTCAGTACAGTTTTCATTAAGAATATGGATGCTAGAACACAGTGGAGCAAGACTTCCAATTTCTCAGGGAAAATTATTTTGAAGCTAAAGTTCTATAGCCTGCCAAACTGTTAATCAAGTATGAAGGTAAAATAAGATATTCAATGACTCAGGAAGTTTCTCCCTATTTGCCCTTTGTGGTATTACTTGAGGATGTAATGCAGCAAAAGGGGAAAAAGGAATCCAACACATACAAGAATTACCTGACAAAT